GTCGGTCATTTTATTGATCTCTTTGAGTATTTTATTACTCAGAATAAAAACCTGTCTGATTTTAGAAAAATGAAAAACTTTAATTTCAATTTCAAGTTTAATTTCAAGAAAAAAGCAACTTTAATTTCAAGAAATCCAAATCGTGGGAAACAGCTCTATATTTGTTAATTTTTACCTAATGATCTGATTTTTTCCGCGAGTTCACAATAACTCAAAAGTCTAAATTGAAATAATTTTAAAATTATAAACTTATTCATTTTGTTTTTTCAAAAAGATATTTTAAAGTGGAGCACCTTTCTATTTTTTACCTTTTTATGGTTTTATGATATAAATAGTTTATTCTCCAGCTTAACAGTTTTATTTACGGCTACGGCTATATGAAGCTCTCCGACATGATTTCAGGAGGTTAACAAGAATAATGGTCAGCCAGTAAACTTAGCTAAACTTGTACTAACTCCTTTTAAGGGCTTTTAAAGTGGGTTGGCATGAGATAAAAAGCATCTAACAAACTTTTAATTGCTGTATATTGGGCCTCAACGCTATCGTGTTGAAAAACTACGCTTTTGATAATTTCATAACGAATAGTAATAAAAATGCGCACAATTAGTTTAGATAAAAAATCTTCCATAAATTTGTAATGACGTTATTATATAGTTAATGATTTGTAAATTTCTATTCATGCCGATTATTTGAAAATGCCCATAAAAACTCAAAAAATGTAAACTTTGAATGAGTGGGACGAGTAAAAATAGTCTAAAATAAAAAATAAAATAAAAATTTCATTAGAAAACAACACCTTGGGAAAATTTCTGGTTTCAATAATAAATGAACTTGGGTCATTCCAGATCAATTCAAATTATGCTCAGCATCATATCTTAGATTTTAATGATTTTTGGTACTTAATGAAAAAAACAAAATAATGTACAATTACAAATTAATGTACAAATAAAAAAAAACTTCAGTTTTAGTGACTCAATATGGTTTCAGAGATATCGATACTCAGCTTAAATTTCTTTTTTGATTACATTTTAAGCTAATTACATAACACAATTATCTTGAAATGCTTGCTCAACAGTGTTGAAAATTTGTACTCAACTCTTTTTTAGGGAGAGGAACTTAAAAACGATACCTAAAATACTAAAAAATTAAAGGTTACTAATTATATGGTGCAGATATCAAGAAAAATACTGCTGAAAAATGGTATTTTATCTTTGCCTGAAAAAAAAAAAAAGGAAGGAAATATCTTATTTGTACATATGTATATTCACTATATGTTAAGTTTTAAACCAGTTGTTCTGATTTGTTTTTCTCACTTTTGCTTAAATTGCCTAAAATGATGTGAGGTGAGCATCTGGTACACAAACAATGTGTGTGTGATCACACACATACTGCATGCATATCAACTATAAAAATATTAATGATTAGTGCAGTTGAATTATCAAAGGTTTATCATGAACTAGTTGATATGCTTGTTTATAGTAGGGCTAACAAGAATCCCATAATACATTGTTGCCCTTTGTATCCAAAAGATTCTATATTAAGATATTGTCTTGAAAATGAGTTCTACTCTCAAGAATATTTATATGCGGTAGTGGTGTAGTGGTAGAGCGCTCGCTTCATAAACGAGTGGTTCCGAGTTCGATCCCCACCACGTCCCTGGTAGTACCGCGCTCAATTCGTTTCTTCACGCAGCGGCCTTGTTCGTCAAGGTTCGTGTTTCGGAGTTATAGAGTTGAGAGAGGGTTATAGCCACAAATAAGTAGCCTCCTCGTCTGTAGTGGCCTTCTCGGCTTTGAGAAGGTGAATTAAAATAAAAAAAAAAAAAAAAAAAGAAGATATTGATGAAGATGATAGTTATACAAGTAGCTCAAATATATAACTACAAAAACTTACTGTTCATTCTCATATTGCAAAACATTCATACATTGCTGATTTTTTATAGAAATTAAAAAATGAGTTGGGGTTTAAAATTATAAAACTTTAAATGTGAATAATTCTGATCTAAAAGAGATTACCCTTGTAGTTTTTTTGTTTTATAGCATTTGTTAAATATAGAACATAAGGAAAAAAAGTCTTTCAGGCATCTCAAGATAAACATTTTTTGTACGGGATATTAAAAAACTTAAAAAAAGTATTAGATTATTTTGAAATTAAATTTTCATATAGAAGCTTTAAAAAATTTATATCCTATGAAGGTTGCATAAAGAAAAGATTTTTAATGTGAAATGCAAGTTTATATACTAGAACTGTACCTGAGATTCTAAAATTAAAAAAAAAAAAATGAATATAATTTTTTTTCATTATTAAATATTAATTTTTCTTAATTTTTTTTTTAAACTTTTAATACAAATAAATCAGATTCAAAAAAGAAAACCTCAGTATTTTTTTTTCTAAAAACGAGGTTATGTATAAAACCAAAGGAAAAATGTTAAGAACCATATATTTTAGGCTTAGTATGAAAACCCTTAATACAGTTAATAAAGTTAAAAACGTGACCAAGTTGTCTAAAGAAAAACTTTAAACCTTTTCTCTGAAGGATTGGAATGAGGCAAAATAATGACACTTACCTATTTATACATATTTACAGATGGATTTCCTAGACAGTGAATTATTGTTGCGAAAGATCTTGTGTATGTTCAAAAAACATCATCTTTCACACTGGATTTAATAAAGTCTTGATTATTGGTATGAAAAAGTACAGTGTGGAAAATAACTCTTTCTATAACATGTAATACTATATAAATGTGATACATTTATATAGTATTCTCTATCTAGAGAAGAGTCCAGATAATCTAACTCGCAACTTGGTACCATCTCATGAATTAATTTTTTTTTTTATTGGAGTATCTATTTTAGGATGTCTTCTTATGGATATTTGGCCTAAATTTGATGATTAGAGATAACTAAAAGTATTTTCAGAGAGGGTACTAAGCTAGAGGCTAGGATAAAAATTATTCTAACAAAATACTGAAAAACATGGACAAAATTGATAAAGTGGTAATACCTCAGGTTCTTCAACTGAGACCTATAATTTAGTGTTTGAAAGACTTTAGAGTAGTAGAAGATTGATGTTTTGGTCAAATTTTTGTGTCAGAGTATAAGTTGACATTTACTATGTTTAAAAATTCTTTCTTAACTACCCAAAAGCTTGCAGTCCTGCAGGAAAAAGTGTTAACTAAGCTGGAAGCTTCATATTTTGCTGTGTCATATTCAGCTCTATGTTGAACACCATAACTGTCGCCTAGCTAAGTTTGATGAACAGTGTAAAAAAGCTATTCATTCTAAAGTTAACACTATCTAGATTCAACATGGAAAATAAGATATCAAAATCGAGCAGTAAATTTGACCAGCTAATATATGGAATAGACAATCAATTGTTTTTTTCAACAGTCAAACTTTTTTTTTATTTGTTCAAATTTTAATCTTAGTATTAGTTTTTCAGGAATGACCTTTATAAATACCAAAATAACTTAATGCCTTAAAATTAACAAATCTGTATTTCTTTTAAAATAATAATTTTAAACAAAGATAAATGTATTTTTAAGATGGAAAAGAATTTAGAAAATTTTTTTTTAAGATGGAAAAGATGAAAAATTAAAATTTCAAATAAAAAGAACATCAATCTTTAAAGTTAACAACAAAAATAATAAAAAATAAAATATAAAAATATATAAAAATTATTATTATTAATTAATATTATTACAAAAATGATTGTGCATTTCATATCTGTTGTTTTATTGTGCATTTTATATTTCTTGTTTGATTATGCATTTTATATCTCTGCTAATCAAAATCATTTCAAAAACTTAGCTAGCTGTTAATTAGGTGACTTTAATGTTTTTAACTTTTTTGCGCAAATAATATTAAAACTAATTAATAATACTAAGAAATTAATCATTTTTTGAAACACTACTACAAAAATTACTGTTACAAAAATCAAGATTTTTACTAAATATATATTTTTCTCAGTGGGGTAGGCCCCCTTAATTTTAATCCCCCATATATATATATATATATATATTTCTTAATGGTGTAGGCCCCCCTTAATTTAACTTTTAACCCATTTGTGACCCTTAGCATTTTTTTTGAATTTTAAAAATGCTATATTCTAATTTAATAAGACAAATTATAAGAAAAAAACTCTTAAAAAAAAAAGTTTTGTTTGAGTGACATAAGATAAAACCTAACCGTCTCTTTAGCCAACCGTGAAGATAAATATAGGCTTTTTAATTTTTTTCTGGTATATAGAACTTCCACAGTGAAAAGTTTCATAATTTATTTCAACTGTTTACACTATTTTTGTATGGATTCAAAATAAATGCAACTTATCATATCCTTTTTCAAAAATCAATATTTTAACAATCTGCTGAAAGTGTTCTACTAATTTTTAATGTATAATTTTGATTTTTACCATAAATTGTTACTTCAAGTACAAAAGTGAAGAAAAAGCCTGTCTGTAGAGATTCAACTGCATCTAGGTAAAAAACTATTACTATAGAAATTTTTAAGTAAACCACATTTTTATTTAACAAGTTTTATGGTCTGTTAAAAATTGAAAAAATCTACTGCAAGCCCAGACAAAACCTTTTCAAATTTGGGTAATCTTTGAATTAATCATAACTTTCAAATGGTTTGGTCAAACAAGCTGAATATTTCAGGATTGTGGTTTTTTCGTAAATTCTCCACGTAGTCAAAATTTGAAGCATATCTGAGGCTGTACTCTGGGGCATTTTTGAAAAATTATGCAATTTTATATGGAATAATGTACAGGTGTACATTAGAGGAAGTGCAAAAAAACCTTGGGGTGGAAATCAGTGTTAGTAAAGAAGTTCTGCAATAAATAAGACAATTAGAGTTACTGTATAGATGTATTATCTATTAGATTTATTATTTTCTATTTGTGACCAAAATCTTTACACTGAACTATTTACCACCTTACAGTTTTAAAATTTTTAAATTAAAAATATTATTTTAGAATGAATTTTTTTAAATATATAAACCTTCATTAGCTTCACTTTTTAAAAGTACACTGACAGCAAGTCCAGACTCATTGATTGTAGAGTGCTCATCAACTTCAGTGGATTCATTTTTTTGAGTTTGTAAAATAGTTTGGTCATTCTAAAATAATAACATTAACATTCTAAAATAATAAAATCCAATAAAAAACCTTATGTAATATTCTATTAAACAACATTATTGTGATTTATTGTTACAATTAAAAAAACATTAAAAAAAAAAATATGATATCATTAAATTCAAGTTGACACAGAGCACTTAAATTACACAGAGCACATAAATTACACAGAGCACATAAATTATCAAATATTGAATTATTATATTATTTTTAGCCAATAAACTTGTTTATAGTGTAAAGGGTGTCCAAAGTGCTGAGACAAGTTGTGTTCATTTTAAAAAGAATGATAAAAAAGTTTGGGCAGATTTTCTTTAAGTAAAAAAAATAAAAGTATACCAAGAAAAACAAATTTTGTTGTTTTACTTGAAGCATGCTGTCTCCATGTTAGCCAGTTCTTTAAAGTCTTTGAAATATATGCCGCAATCTACTTTATAATTTATTAAAGCGCGTTTAAATCCAAAGAGTTTTAGTAAATGACGTTATAGCATTTATTTATTTTTTTGAATCAATCTTATATATTTTTTTTTTTATTTTTTTTTTTTAAAAAGTGCTAACTATTAAAAGTATGGCTTTCCTATAAATTTTATTTCCTATAAATTTTATAGGAAGCTAAACAAAAGAATGTTTTTTTATAGAGCGCAAGAACCAAATAAAATAAAGATTTTTATGTTAAAATATAATAAATATTCAAAAAAGACGTTGATCACATAATATATATTCTTAATATTTTTTCTTTTTTTGTACACAAACCTTTTTTTCTAGTTTGTCTAAGCCGTTTATCACTGTGATGTTTTTGTTCTCCTATTGAAATGACATTTTACAAAATCTTAAATTTTTAATTAATAAAGAATTTTATTAAATGGCATCATTTATTAGAGAAATTTGCCGAATTTTTTAAATTTTTATTTAGAAATTATTTATAGATTTTACACTTAACAATTTTAACGACAACTTTTTATTAATTAAAGCAATAATTAATGTTTTATGGCAATAACTCAAGACAAATGACGATTAAAATTGTCAAGTTGTAGCAGCATGCGTTAAAAAAATTATATTTAATATTTCCTTTGTCGTATTTGGCAAGTATTTTCCATTAAAACCTGTCTTTGAAAATTACAAATCAAAAAACTACCAAAATTGAAAAAAAAAAAATTTTTATTAAACAATTTTAATTTTAAAACTCAATAATGCAACACTTTTTTGCAATTTTGACAAATAATTATTCAATTTTAAAAATAAAATAAGCAATACATGTTGTACGGAATAAATTTCATAAATTATACTCTTGCATGATTAAATAAGAATTTCAAGAACATTTGTATCTGATGAAAAGTTTAGCAAATAAATGCTATTAATTAAACTTTCATAATGTTAACTTTTTCGCCACTAGTCGTTTTATCGAAAATCTTTACATTGCGAGCACACATTTTTTAGAATAAAATTTGGATGGCATAACATTAACAACTAATTCAGGCTTGGTCGGGAAGCGGGAGCGATTGCTCTCAAATACTGACCACGGAAATTATATTTAGTTGCCAAAAACTGGCCAGGTTTTTTAGTCGTTTGGAGAACATTTAAGCTTATGTGCGTAACAATAAATTTTTGTTTCACGGATATACATGGAAACATAAAAAACTTTGATGTTCTCAAAAAATTGGTGCGGAAGAATAAAAAGAATATTTGTGAACACTAATAACCCGCCAAATTAACGAACAAACTAATTCTATTAGTTCAATAAATACGCTGACTAAGAAAAATAAAGTTCTATTGTATTTTGTTGAAATGTTTTAGAAATTGTATTATTCACGATTTGTTACATTTTCAGATTTCTAGCATAAATTGTTTTAAGAATATATTATCAATACTATGGCTCATTCTCGGAGCCACATCTGCAAAGCCATAAATCTTATAAACTATTATTATTTGTTTACAAAAATAAATGTTTCAAATATATATGATTTAAATTGTCAAAATTTTGAAAGTTTATTATAAATTATAGATTTTATTAGTATATTCTTATTTTTTATTTAAAAAGTATGTATTTTTTATGTAAACGTAATTTTGTGTATCTGTTTTTTATCGTAATGTAATCTTTTAATAGGACTACCAAGTCCTGAGACATGTTGTGTTCATATTAAAGAGAATGTTAAAAAAAAACGTCTGAGCAAATTTTTTTTAATTAAAACTAATTAATAAGTGTATACCAAGAAAAACAAATCTTGTTGTTTTAGTCGAAGCTCGTCTTCTCCGTTTTCTCTGCTATTTTGAGTATGTAAAATAAACGCGATTTTCCAGACGCATAATACAGACTTGATAATTTATTCAAGCGCATTTAATTCATAGGAGTTTTAGAGCATGACGTCATTGGAAACATTCTAGAAATTCTTTAAAAATTTTACTATTAAATTTTACTCAAATAGCTAACTATAGAGAATGAGCCATAATATTAAAGTAATAGTTCATTTGGTAATATATTCTTAAAAAAAATTATGCTAGATATCTCAAAACGCAACAAATCATAAATAATACAATTCCTAAAACATTTCAACAGAATACTCTAGAACTTTATTTCGCTTAGTCAGCGTGTTTTTTGAACCAATAGAATTAGTTTTCTAATTAAAATTAGAAATATTGTATATTAAAATACAATACTTCTAGTGGTTATATATACTCTTGTTAATCAAGTAATATGATATTACTTGATTAACGAGGGATATTTATAACCCCTAGAAATATTGTATTTTAATATAAAGAATTTTATAAGGATAAGTTTACATACTATAACAGATGTTTTAACTTTAATCTTAACAAATTTTTGCAGTAATGTAAACAATAGAAAAAATAATTACATTGTTTCTTTAAAATGTCGATATAACTTTTTTTTTTTTAGAATTTTTAATAAAAAGTACATACTTATATAAATATAAAGAAAAATATATATATATGATATTCATTAATACTTTATAAATATATATATATATATATATATATATATATATATATATATATATATATATATATATATATACATATATATATATATATATATATATATATATATATATATATATATATATATATATATATATATATATATATATACATATATATATATATATATATATATATATATATATATATATATATATATATATATATATATATATATATATATATATATATATATATATATATATATATATTAACAGTGATTTGTAACTTCCTTTGAATGTATTTCAATAATACAAAAACATAAATAAAAATCAAAGTTTTTTAATTTAAAAACTTTTAAAAAAGTTTGTCTTTCTTTTCTTCTCAACAAAACCTTTCTTCTTTTTGAGTGTATAGACTAAATTGAATCTTATATAAAGTTTATTAAAGAGACAATCATTGTTTAAAGATAAATGTTTTTTTTTAATTAATTTTTTAGTTAAAGTTAAATATTTTTTACGTAATTAAAAAACCATTTTTTTCAGGACATTTTTAAAATGTTAAACACAGTGGACAAACCATCAAAACAAAACATTATTTGCGTGGTCATAAAAAGGCTTGCTTTTGCATGCTTTCCTGGCCAAGCCTGTATGCATATAATTTACTGTTTTTGAATCTAATACATCAATACCTAAAGTTATGTTAAAAACTGAATTTTGAAAAAAAATTTCATAGTAAAGTATACTATAAAATATACTATTCAGAGTATACTTGGTAAAATATACTATAAAGTATACTATTCAAACTTTATCAAAAAAACAGAGTTACCAAATTTAACAAATCATAACTTGAGGAAGTTTGGAGATATAAATATCACTATATTATATATATATATCACTATAAAATCACTATAAAAATATTGTTAAGGTAATTTAAATTATATTTTTTGATAATTTCAATGAAATAACAATCCCTTAAAAAATTACTTTATTGTTTTCACACAAATAAATTGTACAGAATATTCCTAAAAAATTATTACCTTTTCAGGAGAACTATTTCCATGAATAGTTGTTTCAGTAGTGGATTTCAATTTGTTTTGGTTTTCATTATGTTCTTCCCAAAATCTATCTAGCATATCCTTAAGATGAGTAAGTGCATCTTCAGCTTCCCAAGTGTAGCGAACCCATTTAACTTTATAATATCTTTTACCATCTTGCTACAAAAATAATAATCCGTTTAGTACAACACAAATGACTATTTTTAAGATGATTCTGCCACACAATCGAAAAGAAATAACTTTAAAATAGTTAAAGCAATGCATTTTTAGACTTTCTACATTTAATTGACTCAAAAAAATTAATGTATGTATAATATTAATTAGCGCCATGTCAAAAAGTATTTAGAATTAAATATATCAGTTCCAATCCACATGCCTGTTATATATATATATATATATATATATATATATATATATATATATATATATATATATATATATATATATATATATATATATATATATATATATATATATATATATATATATATATATATATATATATATATGTATATATATATATATATATATATATATATATATATATTTTTATATATATATATATATATTTATATATATATATATATATTAATATATATATTTATATATATATATCTTTATTTATACATCTATATATATATATATATATATATATATATATATATATATATATATATATATATATATATATATATATATATATATATACATATATATATACATATATATATATATATATATATATATATACATATATATATATATATATATATATATATATATATATATGCACTGAGGTTATATATATATATATATATAATATATATATATATATATATATATATATATATATATATATATATATATGCACTGAGGTTATATATATATATATATATATATATATATATATATATATATATATATATATATATATATATATGCACTGAGGTTTTGCATCGTACATTTTAGACAATTTTATATGATCCAAAAACATTGTAAAAATAAAACTTTAAAAGTTCTGCAAATTATTTCAATTAGTTGATTTCAATTAATGCAAACTTAATTAATACCTTATTTTTGAACCTTATTATTATTATTAATCTTAAATTTGATTTATTTTATTATGCTGGATGCTTTTGACATATTTTTGTTGCTGTTACATGCATTTTCTATGGAGCTAAAAATTAAAAGTAAAATTTATTGAATACATTTGTAAATGAATGATTGAATATATAGATGAATAAATGTGTGTTCTGTAACTTAGTAATTCATAGTATTTACTAATATGGGTAGTCCTCACAAGAAAGACACAAAGAGGAAAAAAGGAAGATACAGACTAATCCTGTTTCTTCTTAAATATCCTCTTAACCAGCTACCCGCAAACCAGATCCCCAGCATTGAAAACGTGCTCAGATACAGTTTTAAAATTTAAATCTACTAAGCACTTTTTGTTGCAGCTTGTTCTCAAAAGTTTCAAGGCTTAGATCTTATTATTAAAGACAGATAATCAATAGATCCATTCCAAATCAGAATCAACAGATTAATCATATATACGCTTCCTCTTTTATAATGGATGTGTAAAATAAGTATGGTTATGGAGAACTTATTTCTGAAACTGCTGTTAATTGTCAAATAATTTAATTTTAAATTGTAAATAAAAATGCAAATAAATCAAAAAACAAACAAATAATAAAATAAAAACAATAAATAAAAAAACAATCAATATCAGGTTGGATCATCCTTGTGCAGGGAGGCACTTTAGTTTGACAAAAGGGTGTTAACCACAAAGAATTTTAACAGAGTGGATTTTGAAAATAGTGGGTGTATCAGGATTAGAGCTTCTCATTTTTTTGTAAAAATTCTATTCCCAGGATTCTGGGACAACAATATTTTATTTTGCGGGATCCCAGGATTAGGTAACAAGCAAGAATTTATTGCAATTTATGCAATGAGGTGGAAAAAAATGAATAAATTTAAACAAATACACAAAAAATGTGATTTTAATACTATTATTATTAACAGGAAAAATATAAAGAAACTAAATACAAAAAAATTTATAGAAGCTAAGACTCTTATAACAAAACAAATGTAAACTTCATTAACATTAAATTTTATAAATATTAATTTTTAAAATTTTGAAAATTGCATTTTTTAAAAAACATAAATTAATTGAAAATTCAGTCAATATGACTAAATTTTCGTAATAAATAGGCCTGCTTCCGAAAAAGCTCTTTCCGACTAAATTGATGTCAGTGGGATAGAGTTAATAGAGCATAATATAAAGTATTTGTAAATTTTTTCATTACATCAAAAATATCCATTTTTTTAAATATGTTTTTAACTTCAAAAATACATCTTCTTGATGGTGCCATTACGAATGTTAGTCGATTCAAACAACATTCGTAATGGCAGCATCCAATATTTGATGAAGTGTTAACTCAGATGTAGTCAATAAATTTTTTTGCTGCAGTTTAAAAGACTGATTAATTTTTATAAATTAATGGATTATTTATATATTTTAGTAAGCCAAGGAAATTTTTATTCCGTCTTTCAACAATTCTGATGCACATACTGCAGGGCATTTCCATTCCAGTGAGTTTTTTCAATTCGGAAGATGGAATTTAAAAAAAGATAAGTGATATTTTGATTATCCAAAAAAAAAAATGATAGAAGACAAATGTTTCTTCATGTTTTAATTATTTAAAGTTCGCAATAAATAAATAAAATATTTAAGAAAAAAAACAAATATTTTTATTACATGTGATTATAACATTTAAAATTGATTTCATGACCCAGATTTTTTTGATTCTTAAAGATAATGATGTCTTTTAATATTTCATTACCATAAATTGCATTTAAATATTTTGGAGGTATTTAAAATTTTACACCAAAGTGAACAGGGTTTTGAATTTCCGTGCGTGATTTAAAAGATCTAATTATTTAGAAAAAGAAATGTTTAAAAGTTTCAATTAAAGTGATTTTTTTTACTTTGCGTATTGTTAGGTTACTGAATTGAATGGCAAAAAAAAATTTTTTTTCTACAACATTTTAGCATTGTTTTTTTGCATCACGCACAGACATATCACGCACGGACAAATATTCATCCGTGCGTGATAATTATTTTTCTTTAGCTTTATAACATTCGAATAGTATATTTGCTAATTAATTAGTTGGAGTAAAACTTAGTTAGATAGAAAACAGTTGCTTAAAAGAATTTAGAATTAAAATGAACAAATTTAAGCATTCAATAATTCAGAAAAAATTTAGAAAGATTCATCCAAAATATCGGATTGCTGAAACTAATCGAATAAAAAATAAAAGAGCAAAATGACATACATGAGCAAAAAAGAAAAGGAGGAAGTACGCCAAAAAGATTGCGAAAGAAGCAAAAGCAAGAGGTGAATCAATCTACATCTGATATTGGACAATCCTTTTTATCTCCGCAGAGTTTTGGAAAGGCACTTAAAAAAGTTAATTCAGCATTATCTGCCGATTCAAACAAAAGAAAATACCTTTTAAAAGAAATTTGTAAACGTGAAAACATACTACTTTCTAATATTTCAGAATCAGGTCCTGACTATGCCGGTTTGGAGGATGTTAATTTCAAAGTTCTTGATTTTTATTTGCGAGAAGATATTAGTAGAATGGCTCCAGGACGTAAGGATGTTGCTATTAATAAGAAAACAAAAGAGAAGGTATGACACATTGCTTATATGTAGAAATCGCATTTTATTTAATAAGGTTTTCAGTTTTTGTAAACAATTTTTGTTTTCTTTTAGAAATAAATTCGTCAAATGCTGATGACTATAGGAGAAGCATATTCACTTTTTAAAAGTGAGCATATTAATTTAAAAGTGGGCAAATCTAAGTTTTACGATCTGTGGCCATTCTATGTCAAGCTAGTAAACGATCTTCCTCACAATATTTTCCTTTGCATATACCATGAAAATTTCAGGTTGTTAACGAATGCCCTTCAAAAAAAATTTAATATTATGTCAGACATAGTTGACAGATCTGTGTGTAATCAAAACAACCAATCTTGTATGTTTATGGAATGTAAAGCAAACTGTGGGTTGTCGAAGTTTGATGAATATGTTTTTAATGTAATAGACTCATTTGGTAGCGATTCCAACAAACCGCTCTTTGTTTTTGACCGATGGTGCTCAGAAAATGCGCAAAAAATTGAACAACCACCTTTGTTAGAGGGGTGCGTATTACTGTGGCCAGATTATATACGTCAAGTGTATATAAAACAACAACAAAGCGCATATTTTCTTTTATGTCGCCAAAATGTATCAGAAAATGAATTGATTATACAAGTAAGTAAAATTGTTATAAATGTATCAAAAAATGAATTGATTATACAAGTAAGTAAACTTTATTTGTAGTACGATAACAAAACTTAATAATTTTGTATTAATAATTATAAACTTATTATTCATCCATTTATATTTTTAATTCTTCTAAAATTAGATGGATTTCAGTGAAAATTACACCATAATGGAACAAAGTGAAATTCAATCTGCTTACTGGGTTCATCAGCAACTAACAGTATTCACTGCAGCAGTTTGGAGTAAAAACGATACACATTCCTATGCCATTGTATCCGATCGTTTACTTCATGATAAATATGCCATCTTGTTCATTATCAAAGAATTATTAAGTCATTATCATAATATTTGTAAATTATTCTTTTTTACTGATGGTCCTTCATCACAATTCAAAAACTCTTATATCATGACAGCCATGAATAATTTGTATAAATTATCATCTGATCTTCTTGAGATTCGTTAGTCATTTTTCGCAACATCACACGGAAAGGGAGCAGTTGATGTGATAGGTGGAGAAAAAAAAAGAATGGTTTGGACAACAGTAAAATCTGGAAAACGATATTGTCGCAGTTTTTAATTTTGTGAGCATTGCAAGTGAAAAAAAATACCAAAATTAATGTAAGTCATTATTTATAGAAAAAACCTCAAAATTAGATCATCTCTATTACAAATGAGTGTATTACCGCAAAACAAAGTGAGATCGATGAGACGCTTCTCAAAGATAAGTTTAAAGTCAAAGGTATTCGTTGCCACCACTCTTTTCTTTTTAATATTGATGGCGCTTACATGGCAATTTGTAACCAATCAGAAATGGTAAAAATTGTTAAG